ATAATATTTGAGCAAGCATGGTGATTTATTCTCAAACCTTCTCCGTGCGAGAAGAGAGAGGCCTTTGGTCAGCAGTGGCTACTTATAGGCTGATGCTGTGTGTATGTAATTATAATATAGCACAACATAACGCCTTATCCTCGAAGGGGTAGGCAGAGGTGCACATTATGCCACTGTACAATGTAACACCCAGTTTTCACTATTTATGTTATGGGTCCCATGTAATAGGGGGTGAGCCTTTTACCATATACCGGGCACAGTTCCAGACTTCGTGCTACTACTGAGAATTTTTAATTATGTAATAATAATAATAGAGGTATATGATGAGCTCTGAAATGATTGAATGTAACGTTTAAATAATAATTAGCATTAAGTTACGAACTGATGTATTTATAACAAAATTTGTATTTCAAAAATTAGAATTAAGATGAATAAAAGTATATTTTTCTAGAATATCTGCTAAACTGATGTGTATAACATTGTCTTAATCGTATGTAGCGCCATCTATACTACACTTGGCGAGCCGTGCATCTTAGCCATCATCTCCGAGTGGTGTGAACGAAATTATTTGACATACAATTATTTTTTTCCAATCTCTATAGATCCCTAATAAGCCCTCAAAGATACAAACTTTACTATTATAATTTATACACGAAATGATTTAGAATTCGCTGCTAAATATATATTCAAAAAATATGAATTCCATCAAGAGAGAATATATCATCGCAACTTCATATAACGATATTTGTCAGGTTTTATTAATGGTGCATTGCGTATCTATAAATCGACGAAAATCCATTAACGGCTATAAAATATTTAATGGCTGCCGGGCACGTCGAGTAACACTTTTCTGTAATATGTTAGAATATTCGAACATCAGAGCACTATTTTCTGTTAATACTTACATGGATTTATGTCTGAACTAGGGGTCATTATCGCGACCCTTGGGTTCAAGGTCGTTCCTTAGAATTAGATAGAACTAATAAAATTGAATCATCGTCATAACCACAGTGCAGCATTATAAAAAATCTCATGAATGCAAAAAATAGCCTTTTTTTACTAAAATCATAAATAGTTAGATGCTCAATACTTTTATCAACACACACACACATACCTAAAACATGTCAATACTTGAATTAAATACTGTCGCGCTGTGAGTAGCTCAGTCTGCTAGAAATGCTGCTCATGAATATGAGCCTCTAGCATGGCTTGAAACTAGTCAAATTCATCGTCAAATTATTACGTGAGTAAGCCGAAAACATAATAATTTATTTAGTATGTCTCACGAAAGTTACAATACAAAAATACTTGAATTGATGAACTCCACTATCACCCATAAAGCTTACACCACCCACAAATCCAAATTTATATTACTTATAAAAGACAAAACGGTTGATGGATGAAGAGGTTTATTGAGCGTAAAATAAGATATAAGCATTTTTGGATTCCATAAAGTTACGTATAATATTGTGGATTGTGGAATCCAATAATAATAGGAAAAAGGTTGATTGCAACAGGATCAGAAATCACCTTTACCTGCTTCTTTGAAGAGCAAGCTATCGATATTGCTGATAGGTTCATCTTTTCGTCAAAATAAGAAAGGGTAGGTATATTTAGATTTTTGTTTTAATTTGATAACAGTTAAGCAATGCTCATTTCTATTTCTCTTGACAAGTATTTAGTGGTGTTATTGTAATGACTTCATTTGTCTAAAATATTCTTTGTTATCCAGATTCGTTTAGGATATTGACATTGCAAGCAACAGACCATATAAACATGTTATAAAAGGGAATATAAACTCGAAGAAACGCCAAATTCTGAACATTATTCGCTCAATATTTTTTCCGTCTCAATTTATAAACAAAAGAAGGGACACTTTTATTCCCAGGCACTCAAGTAAAACTTAAATAATCCGAAGATTACTTTAAAATTTGATTGAAAAAGACAATAAGGGAATATTAAAATATCAATTTGACACCCTAACGTCCCCGACGACGGAGTTTGTTCACTTCGTAGGTACTAAAACTTTTATAACTTGAAGTTTGGAGAAGTATTTTCTTCAAAAATAGAGGTGACATTGAAGAATTCCCAAACTTAATGTCAAGCTGCTTGGGTTTCAATTTTGAAGTAAACTACGTTAGATAAAAGAGGGATAAGGTTTTAGGGATTTTTTTTGGGTTCATTGTGCAAGATTGGGTCGAGATTATTTTCAAATAGACGTTAGATATTTGTGTTTAAGATTGGTATTCATTTAATTTGTACTCTACTAGGACTTGGGTCAGATTCTGTTCGCTTTATGACTTATTAAAAGCTAAAATACCCACTTCAAAAAAGAGGTCCTCAGATTGACCTGTATGTATGTATGCATGTATGTTTTAATTCGATTATCTCACAATTGGCGAAACCGAATCTGATGCGATTTTCAGAAAAGTGTTCGTTAAACTTTTTTATGGGGGGAAAATTTATTATCGAATGACTGCTCCCGCCTGGGTGAGGCTGGAGAGAGTGTCAGACTCTTACTGACTAAAAACCACCCCGTTCCTTCTCCTGCACGCCCCGGTTACCCGTTAGGTTCTCTGCGACTCCGAATCGGCATCGGCCCTGTTGGGCCCCATCTGTGGTGGTCTAATGGCTCTTTGAGGCGCGCGCGGAACGCGACGCGCCGTACGCTCGGGTAGCTTCAGAGCTTTCTTTAATATATTAATTAACAGACTTCAAAAATGGCGGTCGAAGTCAGTTTTTTTATACGTAGTTTATAAAATAATTATTATATGTAAAATTTTGTACTAAAGCAGACATTTAAATTTTATTATAAGTTTTTGTGTTACAAGACGTGCAAACGCTGAATTCATTGTTTTCCCAAAATTATACATAAGATCTTCGGAACTGTACTTACTATTTACAATAAAATGGCATACTATAAATTGTTCAAAATCTTGTAACAATGACAGAATCTTCTAAACCACATCAGACAAGCAATGATAAATATCCATCGATACAAATTACAAGTAGGTACGTACCTATAACAAGGAACACAATGCTTCAACTTTTTAAAGAATCAGCCAACTAAGGCAACAAACTTTGCACTTTATAGTCTCACTGAGAAGATTCTTTCTGCATTGACTAAGTGCACTGTTCCGTTACATTTTTTAAAACAATCGCGATATTAAATTCTGAGTTTGTTTTAGTCTTTGTTATTGTAAATCTCCATTGTTTCTGTTGTCATTGGACTTCAAATGGAAATTATTTAATAAAGTAATGTCAATTTTAATGTAGATGGTTTAGGGATAATATTACATTGCTTGAATTCAGTGCGATAAAAAAATTGTATGATAGATAACGTTTGAACATAATATTTGAGCAAGTATGGTGATTTATTATCAAACCTTCTCCGTGCGAGAAGAGAGAGGCCTTTGGTCAGCAGTGGCTGATGATGTGTGTATGTAATTATAACATAACATAACACAACATCACGCCTTATCCTCGAAGGGGTAGGCAGACGTACACATTATGCCACTATACAATGTAACACCCACTTTTCACTATTGATGTAGTCCCATGTAATTAGGGGATGAGCCTATTGCCATATACCGGGCACAGTTCCAGGCACCGTTCTCCTACTGAGAATTTTTAATTATGTAAAAATAATATGTGATGAGCTCTGAAATGGCTGAATGTAACATTTAAATAACAATTAGCATTAAGTTACGAACTGATGTATTTATAACAAAATTTGTATTTCGCCGTACTCGAAAACGAACTTGGAAGCACCATCAACAGCCATTCGACCAGTGAACCATACACATTCTTCATAATAAAATAAACCGAAACAAAACCATAAGATTGATGAGACGATTCGTCTTCCCATTACTTCCCACGCACAAACTTCTGCGAAGAACAAATTAGCAATATTTAGCTCTCGTGATCGACCATACTATGGTCGTAATCGATTAATTCTATTTGACCAAAATATAAATCACTACATAGTATAAATCACTGAATTGGTAATAAAGTCAACCAATTTTTTTTTTGTTTGGCAAACTTTGCCCCACACTAGGATTTCCTCCTGTGTCGTGGGTGCGTTTACAAACATACAAGTTGACATACACAAGACACTCAGACCAAGAACAACAATCTATTGATCAGACAAAGAGTTGTTCCGTGCAGGAATCGAACCCGCGACACGTTGCAGGGCAGCCAGTTGCCCAACCACCGCGCCAACCGTGCAGTCACTTATAATTTGTAAGTAATGATAATATCTTTATTTCTCTCTTAATTGTCATCAGAAAGATCAAATCATGTCTATCACAGGAAACCTTAATAGAAAAATGAAACAATAGGAGGTTGAATGTCTTATCGTTTATTTACGGAAAACCGAAAGTCTTGGCAAGTCGTGATGACCTCCGCAGGCTGGAAAAACAAAACGAATAAAGTGATTAAAATCCTAACAAATTAAGTTGTACTTGGGATAATAAAAGTTTAAAGCAAAAATACCTGTAGGTTCACTTTAAAAAGTAATTAGAAGACAATAACAGAATTACTAGTTGAAAAAACCTAAACAATGGACGAACAGTATAGTAAATGGGTATCAAATAAAAATCATAGTACTTATTATACCTACTACATAGTTGAAATCTAGTACATTACATTTCTGAACCAGATATTTAAAAAATCTATTAAAATATTCCGACACGCCTTTTAACATAACGTAGGCAGAGAGTTTACGGCACTTAATGCCACTGTACAATGTAACACCCAATTTCCACAATTTATGTTATAAGTCCCATGTAATAGGGGGTGAGCCTATTGCCGCATATCGGGCACATTTCTACTACTACTTCTACTACTAAGATTTTTTTAACCTAGTAATACTTTGCACGACCCGAAAATCGAACATAAGACCCCTTGCCTGGCAGTGGCTCTTGCAACCAGAAGGGCAACGAGGCAGCCTATCTATTAAAATCCTACATTAATCGACACGAAAATTCAACTTACGTTCATCAACATTTGTTAACAGGAACACATATTCCTGAGGAGTTTCTAAAGTGCTTCTTCTTACACACACAACGTGGTTCACAGTTCAAGACCAAAGTATTACACACAGTCGGTTGCCTATCAGCATCCTCACAACTTTCTGCAAGACACGCCGATGGGCAGGAGTCCCAGACTTCGTAAGGCCTTGTGCAGTTTACTGGAGCTGTAAGGTTAAATTAAAATATTGAGTATCTTTGTAAAGAGGAATTAAGTAAAATGTTCTTTATGAGAGACTAATCATTTTTAATTAATGCAATTTTGTCTTGAAAATTTTTTAAGGCTTAACAGTATTAGTACTACCAAAATCATCGATATACGGAAGTCCAATGAGTGTCTAAAATATAGCCAATTTTTACGAAATCAATAGAAAATATCTCATATCAGAAAACAATATTTTACTCCATATGACACGTTATTGAATAATTGTTATTAGCCTAATCGTCATATTTCGAAAGAGATATAACATAAAACGCTAAGTATGAGGTTCCAGAATCTAGGGCAAAATATTAAGCCCGCAGCTCCCAGACACACTCAGCAACAATTTTATCCTACCCAACACTCTAGGGATCCCAATCAAATGCTTCGTTACATTCTTACTAGATATAAATCTATCGTAGTACAATATTTAACTGTCAGCATTTCAATGGCACCAAGTAGTCGATTGAAAAATTCTCAGGAGAAACATGAGAGTGACAACGTCTCATTTCACATAATATTAATAACTAAATTCACTGAATACAAGTGTGAATCTGAATACAATTAAGTTCAATTACAAGTGTGATAAATAAATCATGCACACTAACAGAAAATAGATAGCAACAGTTTTACTCTTAAAAGAAAAGAAAGAACGAACATCACAAATTGCTTCTACGTAGACAGAATACAAATAATACAATCGATCAATTAGCGTTCAAACTTTCCTTTTTAACAAACACAAATGGAAAAGGAAATTAACATTAAAAAACACTTACGACAATCAGACGATACGATGCACGTTGGATCTTCATAGCTTCTCTTTTTATGGTTCAAATTGCAAATGCAACCAGGCAAGCAGGAGCCTGCTGGAGGGTCACAGAAGGTTATATCCCTGCTGTCATCTTTTGGACAGTAGCTATTTGGACAGTCCACTTTACAGTCAACGAAACGACCACTTTTACCGCATGGGTTTCCACCTGAAAACAAAATTAGAATAATTAGTTATCTATAATTCTAACTCATTATTAACAGAAATATAAATATAAATAAAGATGAAGAATTTGTTTGTTTGAACGCACTTACCTCAAGAACTACTGGTTCGATTTTATACTAGATAGATAGTACATTTATCGAGGAATGCTATGGAATGCTATAAAAACATCACGTTAAGATTAATAAGCGCCGAGCAGAGTGGGTGCAACCGCAAGGAAGTGGCATAAGAAGTAAAGCATAAATCCCTACTTTTTTTTGTCTGAACAAGGCATGAACATGATGTCAGATGGTCACAAATACTTCAAAATTATCAGATGTTACTTAACCCTTTGAGTACCGTCATTATAGATACAATTAAAGAACAATAGGTTGCGGTCATCGGTGTCCTCGCGGTGTTTGACAGTTTAAATGCTTAAAAAGCAACAAAATTAAAATCACCCATGTACTTACCAGGACATTTGTTCGGTAGAACGCATGGACCTGTTCCATTTAGCTTGAGGTATCCAGGTTTGCATTCACAGCCAACTTCTAGACACATTCTCTTGCAGGGGAAAGCATTTGGTGAACTGCAGGTAGCCGGACAAGGCCGTGGACATTGTTTTATTATTGCTTTTGGATCACCATTGCAGCTTTCATTAGCTGGAAAGCAAAGATTTTATTTAATATCATTTTGTTCCATCTACTAGTAAACGCTGAACATTATTAAACATCTCCTAAACTTAGAACTGCGATATAGATAGGCATAGTTTTGCCCATTTACATTTGGTGTACTGGTCTTCAAGTATAGTCAGTAGGGACTGGAAAGTTCTCTTATTGCATTTGACTCCTCGGTTAGTGCGGTGGCTGGGCAACTGGCCGCCTTTTTTGTGTGATCCACAGATTGTTATTCCGGGTCTGGGTGTCATGTGTATGTGAACTTGTAGATGTGTTTGTAAACGATAAAGGAGAAGTCCTAGAGTGAGGCAACATTTGAAAAAATAGTCATAAATAGTTACTTGGACAATCCTCAATTGGTATACATTCGCCTCCTATTTCTGAGAGGACGTAACCACTTTTACAACTGCAGCCGTCTACATTTTCTTCTGGACGAGTATTGTCACAATTTTCTGGATTTGGCACGGCACAAGTTCGCTTACACTGATCAGGAACATCACATGCTGGGAAAAAATACTGGTCTTTAAATCTCTAGGTGTGGGATTTATATAATCTTATCGATTCACAAAATGAAATCATTTCAAGAAAATTCGAAAGTAAGATTCCTTGTCGTGAGTCAAATAGTATCGTTCCGTTTGGTAGATTCTACTGAGTGAAATCCAATACAATTCTAATAATAATAATATTATGTCAGCGCTCAAGTCGACAAAGTTTAAGAAATAACACTGTGTAGTAGAACAATCCTAACATTACAGGAAGTTAGAAGAAAATAAAGAATAAGAAGAAAAAGAAAGAAAAAACAAGAGAATAGAAGAAAAAACGAAATAGAAGATGGAAAAAAATGACACAAAGATCTTACGGGCTGGACACTTTTCGCTCGGTATACATTTTCCACTATCATCCCTCAGGTAATTAGCGACACAGTCACATCCAGGTTCACAAGTAATGTTTTCTGCACAACGGAATAAGGCATACTTGCTCAAACAAGACTGTGGAGGGCAAATACGTCTGCAATCTCTGGCAATTTCATTAATCCCACAGACGGGGGTAGACGGATCTAAAAATACAAATTGGTATGAAGGCACTCATGTATTTCTTTATAGGAAGATTTAAGTTTGGTGCAGTGTGTGGCATATGTGCAAATTTTAAAGTATTCTTTAAGATTTTTAATGCAGTGCAGCAATGCGTAGTTAACTCGTCGAGTACCGGTTTTATAGACACAATTAAAGAACAATAGGCCGCGGTCACCGGTGACCGCTTGGTGTTTGACAGTTTAATATCAGTATTATACACCTACAGTTTTAAAATTCTATCAGTGATCAAAATTATTTTTCATATATAAGTGACAATATTTCGAGTAGGCTGCGTGACATCACCGCGACCGCGCACGCTGCTCATGAGGAAGAATCTGTGGTTCGAAACTAGTAGAGCTTTTCTCAGTATATTCACATGAGAAACCCGCGATTTTTAGTTAATTCAATATATTGTTGTTAGACAAGCTATCACATTATCTCCGCGTGCTATTGCCTTGTGCTTTTCTATGTGTGTTCCTTATTTTCTGGCATTTAATTGAAAATTTATGGAGAGTGTATAGCAGAAAAAGTGCTTTAACAAAAAACATCTTACAAGGGCATTTGTCATTCGGTATGCAAATTCCGCTGCCATTCCTAAGGTGGTCGGGAAGGCAGTCGCAACCCCTTTCACAGATCTCAGTTTCATTGGTACAAGCATAATCGGTGTAGGCAATCTCACAATTTTGTGGAGGACATATCTGTCTGCAGGGAACTTCTACTTCATTGTAACCGCAGTTCAGCTTAGCTATAAAGTCGACAAATAACACATCTTATATTATAATGATATCTCTTTACACTCAAAAGCAGAAGAATCTAAATAGAGAGGAATTGATTAATTCAGTCACCCTTTGAATCTATTAGCTACTTATTTTTTAATTATTCTTTATTAATTCTTACGCGTTTTCCTGTTTTATCCCATGGGAGTATTTAATCTGGATAAAAAGTATATACCACAATTATTCATCAAAATCCGTTCAGCAGTTTCAGCACGATTGACGGACAAACATCCAAACAAAGAAACTTTCATACCTATAATACTAGTGTGATTTATTTGTAAGTCGAATTCATTGCTTCTTGCAGGTCATCCTTTTGTTTCATACTATATTGTAACAGATTAGGGCTGGATGTTTCCACAACGAATTCAAAAACAGAGAAAATTGGCGGGAACGCGGAGCGTCTTCGAACACGCTCACTCAACGTTTCGGCGGCGACTGTTGGTGCGAGCGCGTACGGGGCCCGCTCGAGCGAGGGGTGGGCGGGGCTTCGAATTTTGAATTTTAGCGCGAACACGAATTCACTTCTTTACCATAATTTTTTTATCGCGCTACTAAGGAAGTTTTTAACATATAAGTTGCCTACATACATGATAATATATATAAACTCAAAATTTCTTGTTAAACATATAAAAGAAATATGTTATTGGGTAACCACGTTACGTTTTAAAACTAAACTTTGTCTGCGACTATTGCCCTTAGGGAATTTAAGACTACGTTTTTTATTAATACATAAGCACTTAATATTAAAAACTCTTTTAACTTGACTAAAAGAAATTGTGAAGTTAACGGTAACCTTTATAAAATTTAAAACAATATTTAGCATTCAATATTATATAAGTTTAAGAAAACACTCAGACGTAGTAGAAACACTTTTAAATAAATATTTAATTGTCCCATCGGAGTGAAAAAAAAGATTAGATACACATTAAAAATTGTAGTTTCTCAGATACCTACAAATCTAGATACAGGAATAGATGAAATTGCCAGTTTGATACATTTTAATTCAACAAAGTATTAGCTGGTGGCCCGGAGGTCTAAGACACCCGCTTCTCATGCATGACGGTGTGGGTTCAAAACCCACCAATAGCAAGTATCAATGTGAATTTTTCCGAGTTATAAGTATTTTCTTAGATTTTTAGACATCACTGAGAAACGGTGAAGGACAATGTGACTTATAATTTCTAATTATAAGTTTGAAATCTTCAACCCGCATTGAGCAACTGTGGTGATTAATGCTCATTCCTTCTTCGCGTGAGAAGAGTAACAACATTAACGCAAGCACCGACGCGACGCTAGCCAGTAGGCAGCGCGACATTTTCGCGACCACATACGCTGATCATGTGGCCTCTCTGTCGCTCGAAACTAGTAGAACTATTCTCAATATACTCTCGCTCGCGAGTAACCCCCTACCTATTTTTGGTTAAATTAGTATGTCTCGCGATAGTTCCTTATTATAAAAATTATATTTACCTATTACACTTCCAAACATTATATTACATTTCTATACTAGGTATTCAGCTATACATTGAAATAATTTATCTTAAGATCGATTCCAAAGCTGATAATACACCAAGTTCATACCCTGAAAGGTCGTAAAACCCTCTGATCTCGACTATCATCTACAGAGGCCATCATTAAGGCATTTGGAAGGTCTATAAAGGGCCTGATAACGACCAAAATAATAGAATCACAGATTTCAGTTGGAATTGATGCGATTTTGACTTAGAAGGGACTTGTAGCTTTATCTTGAATTTGTGTTTGAATGTTGTCATTGAGTATTGTAAAGTACGTGTGGTAGTAATGACGATATAAGGACACACAATGGCACACATGCATAATATATATACATCCACTATTATAATGTATTTTTTAAGATACACTGCATCGTTGGCCGAGTGGTCGCAAGTGAGACTGCCGGGCAATCTGTTCGATTCCCGGCTCGGGTAAAGTACAACTGGGTTTCTTTTTTAATTCACAGTGGTAGCACGGAGTCTGGAATTATGTGAGGAATATGGCAATAGGCTCACCCCCTATTACATGGGACTCATAACATAAATAATGAAAAGTGGATGTTACATTGTAGGGGCATTAGTGCTGTAATGTGCAGCTCTACCTACCCCTCCGGGTATAAAAGGCGTGTTATTATGTTATGTTATTAGATACATACAAACTAAAAAGAATGAATCAATAGCCTTCTTCATTAATTTGTCTTCTATAAGTGAAATTATCCAATAATACACGATGTTCTTTTATGTACTCGAAATCTAAATAATAGAAATTAATTTCTTCTATAGTATTTTCCTTACGAAATACTTAAGGAATTGATTATCTAAATAGTAACATTTATGTGACCATGGCTGATTAATTATTGCATAATTTAATTCGCACCTAAGACAACAATTAATTTTAAAAACGGCAAAAAGCCATTTCTCCGCAACATAAAGAATGCTTGTATGCATCACAAACACAGTTGCTCTTTAGCAAAAATCAATGTTAATGCATACAACGATTAGTTCACAAGCATCGAATGCAACCACTATCAAACGCTTCCAGTTCAATGATGGTAAAACACAAGATATGTGGAAATATTCCTCATATATTGGGCATGTTTCCAAATGCAAGCTATCTATATATCGTCCTATTACTGTCTCATTGTAGGAAACTGTCATGGTGGCCCGGAGGTTTAAAACGCTCGCTTCTCATGCAAGAGAGTGCGGGTTCGAAACCTACCAAGTACCAATGTGACTTTTTCCGAATTATATGTACCTACTTTCTAAGATTATCTAGATACCACTGACATACGGTGAAGGAAAACATCGTGAGAAAACCTGGGCTTATAATTTCTAATTATAAGTTTGTAATGACCAACCCGCATTGAGCAAGCGTGGTGAGTAATGCTCAAACCTTCTCCGTGTGAGAAAAGACTTTGCTCAGCAGTGGGCATTTACAGGCTGTTGATGTTGAGGCGTAGGAAAATAGTCACAATTTATATAGAAAAATTATAATGATTGTAGACGAAAAATGTATTCTGTTACTTGAATGTCCAATGCATTTAATAATGTAGGACTTATATTGACTTCAGTGGTATGAATAATTCAATTTGTTTGACATTATTGTATTCGAACAATATTTTTATTTACACAATTATTTGTAATGATTCAATTCAATGAACCTTATTTTATTATATAGTTATTTTTTATAACATATCTTTGCATGCCAAGAGAAGGCAAAATATGGAGAAACTGAAAACTTTGTTAACACCTATATATTATATACCCATGTTTGCAAATGATTAAATTAATCTAAATATTAATATGAATAGGACTTCTTGTTTCTTTACAGAACACCCACCGCCTGGTTCTCCTCATCATCCTCATTAACATCACATAAGTTGTCACAACATATTCATTGTTGAACTTCCAAACCAACTTCCAAATCGACTAGTTAGGCCTTTGACGGCCGGGCCTGCGGACCATAACGTCGCGTCCCGCGCGCGCCTCAAAGTTAGAGCCATCGGACCACCACGGATGGGGTCCAATAGGGCTGATGCCGATTCGAAGTCGCGGAGAACCTAACGGGTTACCGGGGCTCCAGCTCAAAGTGCAGGAGAAGGAACGGGGTGGTTTTTAGTCAGTAAAACTCTGACACTCCCTCCCGCCTTCCCCTCTTAAAAAAGGCCTTTGACTGCCAATAGAAAACTGTTGAAACTCAAGATGAGAGATGTGTGTGAGAAACGATTTCAAGATTAAGCAAAATTTTATTTAATGTTTTGAAACTAGGACAGCTTTTCAAACTAGACCTTGACCTTATAAGACCTTGCAATAATAGCCAGACTTTATCAAAACCAATCACAAATTGTAGTCAAACAAGTATAAAGTCAACGAGATAAAGTTACCTAAATTATTTCATACCTTTTTCCTCCACATAATTTGCGAATCCACTAGCAACTAAACAAAGTAAAATAATATGGCACAGCACTTTGTACATCGTGATACCGCACTAAACTTAACAATGTACCTATTTACGTTATAGAACAAAATACACTAAAACTAAACAGATGAGGATAAAACAATATGAGCAGGTTAACTCATACTGACTACGAGTATATGACTAAGATGATTCAGAAATCACTACAACACCGTAGGTATAAACAGCTAGAAATCAAACTATGACAAACCAGTATAAAGTGACCGTTGAATGTACGGAGAGATGATACAAAGAAAGGTCATGATAAACTAGTTTTTTGTAGCCGTTCATTTATCGCCCGTGTCGGGACTTTTTTTTACCCAAGCGCGGACAAATTAATTCAAATAGGTACACACGTCAGGATGACGTCATCGGTGTGATTGAGACTTGTGAATACTTAATTTGTTGTTTACAATGATTTTATTAACATTGTAAGTTTGTTTATTATTATTTATGAAGCGAAAGGTCTTTGGTGGCTGTCTGTCGATTGCAATGGGGACTATCCTATTTTTTGCCACCAGATGATGCTAATGTAGCAAGACGCTTTATGCCCAATCACTGCAGCTGACAATTATTGAACGTCTAATGGTGTAACCACAGATATAATAAAAGAAGAATATTTCTGTGGGTGTAACAGTAGCTAATTTCCTATTGGACGAAAAGTGAGAGGTTCACACTAGTGCCACCTGATAAAGAAAAATACAGTAACCCTTTTTGTGATGTTAACACAAAGGCTAATTCTTTTACTTTTAGAACTATTTAACGGGCAAAGAGATCGAAAGAGACTCACAGTTTTCAAAAACACTTGATGTTTCCTTCAGTTCCTTCTAAGGTAAACGTCACGCGACTAATTTTCCATTAAACAGAACTTTTCCAATACAAATAGTGAGTAAGGATTTCTCTTATGTATCAAACAAGCAATTCCTACAACGAAAAGAACGTACAAAACAAATCACATGAACCATAAAACAGGAAGATCGATTCACTTACACTAAATATCACGTATCAATTGTTTCTTCAAACAAAACCAATAGAAGGAAACAATAGAGAAAAACAAATGCTATACAACAATACAGTTCAAAACACTTCTAAAGAAGAACAAGTAAACAAAAGGCAGACGTATCGTGTTGGACAAGGAGTATGGAGACAAAGAGTACTAATATCACAGTTTATTCTTCACCTTAACCTAGGATTGTTTCGACGTGCAGGAGAAGGTATGGGGTGGTTTTGGGTCAATAAGAGTCTGACACTACCTCCCGCCTCACCCAGGCGGGAGCAGTCATTCGATGATTTTCCCCCCTTAAAAAAACCTAGGATTGTTCACTGTAGTGGCTGCCCATCAGAGCCAATTTATGATCGAAAATTAAGCTAAATTTATAACAAGATCCTTTATTAAGCCCATTGTCCAATGTTTAGAAATCTCACTGATAATAATGACTATCACAGATATTGTTATGACAACGAGGCCTGCAACATGATTTCCAGGCAGGGTATTAAATACACAAAAAAAAATTAATTAACAAAATTGCCATGCATCAAAAAGTATTTCCGTGCAGTTAGGACGCACTTGGACAGCTATCCTAAACATATTTTGAATGGGTATATTGTTTGTAGTTTTAAATAATTCAATCTAACTAATGAAGCTGTGACACATGCCAATTTCAAGCACAAAAGAATGCTTTACTTGAGCACTAGGCGTTTAGTAACATGTATGTCAGAATGTTGCTCAAAATTAGCATGCTCATTCCGGGCATGCTTGTGAATAAACATGCGTTCAACTTTTGATCATGCTCAATAGAACGCTTGTTCGCGTGCTATTTTAGAGCATATGTAAGTACCTTAACGCTTGCTTACCGTTGCGGCATATCAATGCATGGAAACGTTTTAGGTAACTGTAATTTCCTCATAGACCAGCACTCCATAACTCCATACCTCCATAATCCATGGCATGCAACTTAGTAACGGGGACTGTCACTCCATTATGTCAGAATAGGGACGCTAGGGATGTGCATTAATGTCTATATTGAGTTACCCGGGTAACGTACAACCTGATATCCTTTTTGTTGGTTATTCTTAATTGCATTGGCGCGTGGTCGCGTATACATAGTTCGACATCAAGTTGGTTCGACTGTAAAGATGCTCGTATTGTTTCGTACGGTTTATAATATAATTTTATTTTTGTCTAATGTATAATTCATATGACGTAGAATGTTGAAGTTTAAAAAATACAGTCAAGTTGTAGCATGATCAATTTGTCGAACATTAAATATTCATTAAAAAATTCTAGCGGAATCGAAAGTTGTATAAGACTGTAATAACGAACCGAACCAACAAACAATAATTTGTAATTAACTAATTAAACCTATCCCCACCAAACACTCTAGTGCCATACTTCGGCACGAATGAGCCGGCTCAACCGGAGTGATACCACGTCGCCACAGAAAACCGACGTGAAGCAACGCTTGCGTTGTGTTTTGTCGTGTAAGTGAGGTTACCGGAGGCCCAATTACCTCTCCCCCCCTTTCCCAATCCCTGAATCCCTAACAATCCTCAAATTCCTAATCCCAAAAGGCCGGTAACGCACTTGTAACGCCTCTGGTGTTCCAGGTGTCCATGGGTGACATCTCTTACCATCAGGTGATCCGTCTGCTCGTTTATGTACTTTACTTTTTATTTTAATCAACAATTCGCAAAGTATATGTAAATGAACAGTATTCTGATCCATTTCACAATTAATTAATTTTACAATTTAAATTAAACCGAATTACTGCACTTTGATTAAAACCTGCTTCCAGATATTATTCGCATAATAAATAAAGAACGCACATATTTATAAAGTCACTGAATTAAATTAATTAGACGTGTCTGCAAAAAATAAAAATTAAGTAATAATTAATTTAAACACGATTCGATTGCCAATTGATTAATTATCCGATTACTTCGACCACGTGTAACTGGATAATAATAATTTGAAGCAAGCACGATTACACTTTTGGCACAGTGGGGCGACTGATCATTGCACAATCAAGGGTTCGATACTCACAGGGAACAACTCTTTTAGTTATTTACTAGCTGACCCGGCAAACATCGTACCGCCTTTTTACTCATCTTTGAAACCTACCCTGGACTTTCATGAACATTTGAAGACCAAATCGGTTCAGCCGTTCTCAAGTTTAAGCGAGACTAACGAACGGTAATTCATTTTTATTTATATATGTCGAAGCGTCAACGCATATCAATTAATTTAGATGTAGCAACTATTGTTTGAGAACGTCGAGTAATTACTTGAGGATGGTTAGCGCGGAGTAATGGCAACACTGATGGACATATCGATCCGGAAGTTTAATCAGACTTTGACATTTGACAGCGAATGACGTTGACAGACGTCACTGAGCGCGGGAAACACTTTTGGAAAGGATCGCGGCGGTGGCGGCAGCTAGAAGCGTTACTCCCTGCTAAACTTCCTGCGTTCTTACTATTATCAGTAATTTGGTATTTTGGTGTGATTCGACAATGTCGCGACCCACGGGTAGCGTATCTCCGACATATAGATAGATATAATTGTTAAAATTCTTTATTATTGCATCATTCATGTGTATAATAGGTGTTACATAATTGGGTAGAGACAGTTTCAACATAAAACCTGGTTAGAACACGGCAACATTATTACATGAAACCAGAATATAATCTAATTAATTTACTTATTTATTTTAATATCACATTTGTTTTGTTCAGTTATTGTTTCGAGTTTGGACATACTGGGTAGGTACGTAAAACTACGTACCTACTTGCAAATGCTCCCAATACCCACGAGAAAAATTGAAAACGATTGATTATGATACAGACGTCCATTTTCTTTTAAAGTAAATCGACTGATTTTATTGTTACACCCCGTCTAACCCTATTAAGCCACACAAACATTATCTATTGAAGGAAATAGTGTCAAACCCTAATCCAACTTCGAAAATATTTTCTATTACATTTACTTTAGTCGCAGGAACTTGTTTCGCTTGGGTTTCCACCTAAGCCATCGAATTTCCTTCCAAAAAGCCGGGATTTATTTCCACTTTTCAGTTCCATGTTATTCGCTCGAAGGCTTTCGAACAAAGCAATTCAAGCTACATGTTACCTGTTGGGATATTCGTAAAATTCTAAACAATAGTTGCATTGTGGTTTTTGAGCCTTCGAGTGTTTACCAAATTGTTTTGCTCTGATGGAAATGGAAGGTAGCGATGCATTTATTAGCGCTTAAGGCTATGAGGAACTGAACTGATGTGTTTTTTTTGCAGGATGCGAACAGAAGTCTTACTTTCAATATTCGTAACTCAGCAGTCAAAAAGTTAAAGTCAAATAACATAGTAAGGTATTGTAACAAACCGAAATAATTTGAATGCTAAAATCTAAATAACTGTTTAGTCGACAGAATTCAAGATCGACGTTCACCTGTCCATTAAAAATTTTAATACATCACACCAAAGAAAAGAAGTAGCGGTTTATCGTAATTACCAAGTCAAAAATTGATAATTTTAACAAAGAATATTCAACTTATTCCCCAAGCTACCGCAAAATGCAATTTCTCTAAAAATATTCTCATAATCTAGACCTAGTGACAGCACTTTGCATAAAAGAGGATTACGAGAGCTGTGACCAGAGACGACAAAAGTTTTAAATGGCGTCAAATGCATTCTTCATACGATAAAACTTTCCCTTTTTGTTAGAACAGATTTATGAACGAAATCTCTCCGACTTCTAACAAAATTCAAATGAAAAATATGGTAATAATGTGTCCAAGAGTTATTCTATCAGTGGATTGCTAGCGAGAAATTTGAAAGAAAGATTGTCAGTATATTTTGATAGAAGTAAGAAATTGGATGATTATTTAGAACTAAGTATTAAAAAAGACACGAAGATTTCCTATTGCCACCAACATAAAGTTTGTAGTAACAAAGACATAAAAAAAAATTGGAAAAAGAAACAAGAACAATTAATCTAAATTCCAATTCGACTCAAACTTCTGTTACCAACAGTTGAATTTTGACTGAAATTAAAAAAAAAACAACATAAGCTATACAAAAATCACTTACGGCAATCTTCGGTTGGCACAGGTACGCACACACCGTCCTGATTCTTGCAATAACCTTCCTTACAGGCGCACCGTGGTCGGCCAGGGAGAATACTATTACAGGCGCTGTTTACATTCTCGCAGCTGTCGAAGTCACAATCTGGAGGACTTCGGTTCCACTCTTCGTTTTCACCGGTGCATTCCAAGGGAGCTGTTATTAAAAACCAATTTGTATTGTAACTTTCGTGAGACATACTAAATAAATTATTATGTTTTCGGCTTATTCACGTAATAATTTGACAAGGAAATCGACTAGTTTCAAGCCATGCTAGAGGCTCATATTCATGAGCAGCACTCTCGTCGAGTAGCAGCGCGACAGTCGAGGCGTCGCGGGTCGCGAAATGGCTTGAAACTGGTCGAGTTCTTCGTCAAATTATTACGTGAGTAAGCCGAAAACATAATAATTTAAAAACCAATTGCTTTGAATTTGAAATTTGATATTCGAATACATTTTTTTAAATATATAAATGCACAGCATTGGTTTTTTATGGATTCTTTCATAAAACTTTAGTATCCTTTCATAAATATTTTGATCGATCTTTAAGTCATTGGAGAACGCCTATGTAGAGTAGTTAGACGTCTTAGGACTGATATAATGACGATGAGTATGCAAATAGTTTGTAAGATACATAGCGTAAATACTTACGACAGTCAGAAGCTGAGACACACGTTTGATCAATAGAATTCAACATCAAATATCCAGGTACACATTCACAGCCAGAAGGACACGGCCATAATGGATCACAGATCCTTGGAGTCTCATTCACGTCTGTAGGGCAGTACCTCATTGGACAATCAATCTTGCAACTAGTATAGGTTTTGTTTGTAGGACATTGTGGAGATCCTCCTAAAAGTCAAGATAAATTTTTGAGACATTTAAATTGGAAACCTAAGACGTTATATATATACAGGAGAGTGGCAATGCAAGCAAAAAAACCCTAATAGAAGTTGAATATGTTTAGAAAATCAACAATATTTTATTTTATTTATTTAAGTTTTATACAATTGCATAAGGAAGACTTAATGCTAACAGCATTCTCTGCCAGTCATCCTTTGGGTAGTGCAGAAATGTATGGGGTAGGTGGTAAGCTGCAAAACTGTTATGAGAAATAGTGGGCAGACCTCCCACTTCCATCAGTAACCAGTTCAGAATCACGGGGAGCCATACGTAGTTAATACATTTGGCGTAGAGGACAAATTACGTCATACATAAATGTATCAACAGCCTATAAATGCCTACTGCTGACCAAAGGTCTCTTGTCACACGGAAAAGGTTTAAGAATTTATCACCACGCTTGTTCAAACCGGGTTGGCGATTTCAAACTTATAATTAGAAATTATAAGCTCTGGTTTTCTCACGATGATTTCCTTCACCGTTTGTCAGTGGTATCTAAATAATTAAAAAAAAGTATATATGTCTCGGAAAAAGTCACATTGGTACTTACTGTTGGTAGGTTTCGAATACGCGCCCTCATGTATAGAGGACTAATTATGGAGAGTTTATTCAAATTACTTAATATGGATCTTACCTGGACAATCATAGGGATTAATACAGCTGCCACCGAGTTCAGTGAAAAGGAATCCTTCATTGCACACACAACCAGGATTATCACACATGTCAATGCATATAACATCAGAGTCCGGGCTATCGCAAGTTGGTTTACATGGACTGGGACAATCAGAAAATGTTGCATTTTGATCACCATTGCATGTTTGTGTAGCTGGAATAATTAAGATATCTTAATAATATGTACCTACATAGTTTCAGAAATTGTGAAAAGAATACTATATTGTGGTCAATTTACCTATCTCCATAAAAATACCTCTAGGAAAGGAAATGGACAGAGTAACTTAAAATAGGTACTAAAATTCAGTTGAATCTACTTTAGGTTGTTTAGAGAAAACCAGATAAGAATTTCATTATGAAATAAACTTTATCTACCATACCATAAGCAGTAATATTATATAGACATTGAATACACTTACGGCATTCTGATTCTGGGACACAAACATCGTTGTTATTTCTGTAGTATCCTTCAATGCAAGTGCATTTCGGTGGAAGAGGTATGGGAAAGTCACATGGTACATCCTTATACTCGCATCTATCGGCAGAACAACTTGGAGGGTTGGTATTCCATTCTTCATTTTCTCTGGTACATTCGACGGGTGCTAAAATGTCAAAAATGTGTATGTTATAATCTAAGACGAGTAAAAAGAAGTTAACAAGCAATGAATGGCATATAAATAAAGTATAATACTTTTTGTCAGTTATTACTTTTACGGTGAGTTTAAGGAGCTTTCACCAGATGTAGACACACGCTAAGGTGTAGCCTTGCAACTTCGAAATCGACATTCGCACCGACGACTTCTCAAGTTAAAACATCTAGGTACATTTAGAACAATATTGACTGCACGGTTGGTGCGGTGGCTGGGCAAGCGGCTGCCGTGCAACGTGTCGCGGCGCGGGTTCGATTCCCGCACGGAACAACACTTTGTGTGATCCACAAATTGTTGTTTCGGGTCTGGGTGTCATTATGTATGTAAACTTGTATGTTTGTAAGCGCACCCACGACACAGGAGATAATCCTAGTGTGGGGCAACGTTTTTTTAAACGATTAAAAAAATATATCAAATCAAAATTAAAAAAAAACAAAGAACTTACGACATTCAGAAGACAAGACGCATCTATTGTCTTCTTCGCTGAGCCTTATATAACCTCTTTTGCATACACAACCACCAGGACATGGGAATGCAGGGTCACATATGACAGTAGCTAGGCTGTCATCTTTTGGACAATAATCAGAGGGACATCCCACTTTGCAAGAGGCATAGGTTTCGTTTACACCACATTTTGGAGATCCACCTAAAGTAAAATTTAAAAGAAATATAGCAATGGTATATTTGGTTTTTAAGACTTTGACTGCCAATAAAAAACTGTTGAAGGTAAATCCTCCGCTAACGCCAGTCATCGGTGACCCTCATGGCATTTAAGGTGTTAAACATAATTACAATATTGTCTGCCACAATTTTGATACCTACTGTTATTTTTTGTTTGATAAAAAAAAAATTATAATATTCTCGGAAAGAAATAATAATAATCATACCATTACTTAATAACGATAACGATACCTAAAATACCTTAAAAATAAAAAGAATAACAATGTGATTCTAACCTGGACAATCGTAAGGACTAATGCAAACACCGCCAGGTTCAGACAAAATGAAGTCATCGTTGCACACGCATCCAGGGTCATCACATACAGTTATGCAAACGTCTCCAGTGTCGGGGTCATCACACGTAGGCTGACAAGGACTGGGACATTCCGAATATGTAGCATTCGCATCACCTTTGCAGGCTGTCTTGGCTGAAATATTACCATAATACGGAATATATGTAAGTAAACCTTTCAAAAAATAGTAGTTTTTTTTTTTTAATTTGACCTGTATGTATGTTTGTGCGCGATTATCTCGCGATTGGTTTAACCGATTTTGATGTAGTTTTCACAAAAGTGTTTGTTACACTTAGGAGATGGTTATGGTATTGATATTAAACGACTTCAAAAAAGAGGTTTATAAAAACTTATACGTATATATTAATGATCCATATCCAAAATAGACATATTACAGACACATAGCACATTAATTTTAAAAGACTCAGTTCAGAATCTCTTTCGGAATACTTACGACATTCAGATTCAAGTACACAAACATCATCTCCGTTTCTATAGAACCCGTCCATGCAGACACATCTTGGTGGAACAGGGTATGGGAAGTCGCATGGTATACCTCTATCTTCACATCGCTCAGAAGAACAGCTTATAGGATTAGGTTCCCATACCTCATTAGGTCTTGTACATTCAACTGGAGCTGAAAATACGTAATGTTTTGACTAAAAGATCTCAATTTTCATTGAAATTCCAAAAAAAAATTTAACTCGTCCTGATTTCAATCATTGCAATTAATTATTTTCAAATTTTTTTTTTATGTATCGGCGAAACATTCTTGGTAGCGACCAAACACGCACGTTAAAATACTATTTCTAATAATCAAAAGCATCTTACGACATTCAGAAGACTTGATACACGTCTCATCATCACTACTACGCAACAAATAGCCTTGTTTGCAAGAACAACCTCCTGGGCAAGGGAAAATAGGGTCACATGCGACAATAGCCCGACTGTCATCGGTAGGACAATAGTTAGTTGGACAACCCACTTTACAGTATACATAGGTTTCGTTGGCACCACATGTTGGTGATCCTCCTGTAAAAAAAGATATAAAATATGCAGAAACCAAATAACAAAACAGGCATCTACTGAAAATTATTAAACCCAGTTATATTCAGAGGATTTGTGTGATTGCTCAAAGACCAAACATAATCATTTCTTGATACCAGATAAAGTCAGTTGTAAAGCAGACACACAAATAATTTCCCCGAATAGCATAAAAACCAAATACCTAACTAAAATCAACAATATCTATGGTAATTTTATGTAAAGTATCCTATAAAAACATAATATGATTCTCACCTGGACAGTCACCCGGCTGAACACATTCACCATCTTCTTCGATCCGAAGATATCCTTGCTTGCACACACAACCATCTGGATTACACACGTCTATACATGGTTGATCAGAGTCAGGATTGTCACAAGTAGCTTGACATGCGCTTGGGCACTCCTTGAACGTTGCATTGCGATCTCCATTGCATTGAGGCTCAGCTATAAGTAAAAGAAAATCTATCGTTATAAAAGCAACTAACCACCAATTTAAAAATTGCGATGACATTAATGCTAAAGTCATGGATTACCAACTTGTCCTAATTCTAATTTCAGTCATTCTCAATCATTAAAGATTTGTCCAGATTCGGCATACTTATGACCAATTTTCTAAGAAAACTCTGAATACTGTTTACCTGGACAATCTTCAGGCTTTATACATTTTCCGCCAACTTCGGTCAGTACATAACCTTCATTGCAATCGCAGCCTCTAGGTAGACAGATAGCTGGACAAGGTTTATTTCTGTTCTGATCAGCGCAAGTTAAGGGGCATGGACTTGGACAATCCCTTGATGTCGCGTTACGATCACCACCGCATCCAACTGATAAAATAATTTCAATTCATGATTCGTTAACTCGTCGAGTACCGTATTTATAAACACAATTAAAGAACAATAGGTTGCGGTCACCGGTGACCGCTTGGTGTTTGACAGTTTTTCAGACACTCTTTAATTTAAAAATGTTTTGCTATTCTTTTTTAGGCATATATATACAAACAAGACCACATCGTTTAAAAAAATGCATTGTTCATCTGAATTAATACCTGGACATTCTTCCACTTTCACACATTTTCCGTCACTTCCACGAACAAAGCCTTTTTTACAGACACATCCTTTAGGCATGCACATCAAAATACATGGTTGGCTAGAGTCGGGATTGTCACAGGTCGGTTCACAGGCACTTGGACAATCGCTGGATACTGCGTTTGGATCACCATTGCAACCTACAGGTTCTGGAACTGAAGAAAATAATCAATGATGTTATATATCAAATAGTGATGAAAGGCTATTAGTGTGCGAATTAATAAGGATCCAATCATTGAGCTGAATTGAATATTATGGAGGTTTTAGACTACAATATCAGTTTACTTCAATTTCAAATCATTTCTGTCAATAGCATAAATCCAAAATAAATACAAGGCATGACTTAATTTTTTTATACTTTGTTTAACTTTATACCTGGACAATCCTTAGGCTTAACGCAAACTCCTCCTACATCAGTAAGAATGTATCCTGGTTTACATGAACAGCCAGATCGACATACAGCTGGACAGACAATCCTATTTTTTCTAAATCGATTCACACACGTCGTTGGACATCCACTGCCACATTCAGTTTCTGTTGCATTTCTATCACCATTGCATCCATAATCCACTGCAAAAAACACAAATATTTTACTTACTGTATGATAGTAATCATTTCAAAAAAGTACTATTATTTTAATCATTAACTTGTTCATGTTAAATAGATGAAAATCACTTAAAGTTGATATCGACTTCAAGTTGGCCTATGTGTCTAAAAAGGAGCAGCAAAAATTTCGTCCATAATGGATATTGAATAATCTTAAAATACCTGGACAACTCGATTGTTCGATACATTTTCCGTTCTTTTCTTTTCGAATAAATCCAGGTTTGCATACACAACCACTTGGTAGACATTTTCTTACACAGGGCTGGTTAGTATCTGGGTTATCACAAGTGGCTTGACAAGGACTGGGACAGTCGGAGTACATTGCGTTAGGATCCCCATTGCAACTTTCAGTCGCTAAAAGAAAAATTAAAATATAAAGAATGGATTCAGCCAAGTAATTATATATAATTTTATGTACTTAGGACATTGTTTTATTCAAAACCAAAATCTGAGCTGGGTAAATTTATAAATTTGCTGAAATGACACCCAATACAGCTTGACATTTAAGAGCAGGGTGCTTATTCTTGAAACAATCAATCCTTACTAATAAATCGGAAAGTGACTTTGTTTGTTTGTTCCGACTTCACGCCGTTACTACTAAACCGATTGCATTGATTTTTTGCAGACGTAAAGTTAGTAGTCTGGATTAAATAATAGGGTACTTTTTATCCCGAAAAAAATTGATATTTCCGAGAGAAAACAAAAGTATTGGTATAGATGGCGCTGTATGTATTGGTATATGTCCCATAGGCTACTTTTTATCCTTTTGTGACGCGAGCGAAGCCGCGGGTAAAAGCTAGTGATGTTATATATGAAACAATGATGGGAGGCTTAAAGGATCCGATCATTGAGCTGAATGAAGTATTATGAAGGTTTTTAGACTACAATATCAGTTTACTTCAATTTCAAATAAGTGCTGTCAACAGCACAAATCCAAAATAAATACAAGACATTATTTAATTTTATACTTTGTTTAACTTTATACCTGGACAATCATTAGGTTTAACGCAAACTCCTCCTGCATCAGTAAGAATGTATCCTGGTTTACATGAGCAGCCAGGTCGACATACAGCTGGACAGACAATCCTATTTTTTCTAAATCGATTCTCACACGTCGTTGGACATCCGCTCCCACATTCAGTTTCTGTTGCATTTCTATCACCATTGCATCCATAATCCACTGCAAAAATATGATTATTATTGATTCAGTGTTCACAAATATTTTACTTACTGTATGATAGCAATCATTTCAAAAAATTACTTTTCTTTTAATCATTATCTTGTTCATGTTGGATGGATGGAAATCACTTAAAGTTGATATCGACTTCAAATTGGCCTATGCATCTAAAAAGGAGCAGCAAAAATTTCGTCTATAATGGATATCGAATAGTTTTAAAATACCTGGACAACTCGACTGTTCGATACATTTTCCGTTCTTTTCTTTTCGAATAAATCCAGGTTTGCATACACAACCACTTGATAGACATTTTCTTACACAGGGCTGGTTAGTATCTGGGTTATCACAAGTGGCTTGACAAGGACTGGGACAGTCGGAGTACATTGCGTTAGGATCCCCATTGCAAGTTTCAGTCGCTAAAAGAGAAATTAAAATATAAATAATTGATTCTCTATGATCTAAGCTGGGTAAATTTATAAATTCGCTGAAATGATACCCAATATAGCTTGACATTTAAGAGCAGCGTGCTTATTCTTGAAACCAATCTCAATGTCAATGCAATTTCAATCAATTAAAATCTCAATAAATATTTAATGTCAAAATTATACAACCCCTATCATAGCTGTTCAAATAGCATTCAGAGTACGGAATGTAAAACCAAACTCAATACAGTTTAGTTCATTAAATATCCACGCAATATGTATGCAATGGGCGCTAGTGTTAAAAACTCAAGAGTACGAAATTTCACAATACCAATGTCGAACGATCGGAATTGGATTCAAGAATATGCCCCAGGTTGGTCTACTTGCGGATGTAACTAAATATGATTTAGCTAAACTATAGCTATATTTTGTCTGACCTGGACAATCTTCAGGTTTAATACATTTTCCGTCTTCATTCTGAACATAACCCGGATTACATTGGCAGTCTTCTGGAAGGCATATCTCAATACAAGGTCTATTTCCAGCATTTGGATCAGCACAGGTAGCCGGGCATGGCGTTGGACACTGTCTTAAAGTTGCATTGAAGTCACCTTTACATCCTAATGATGCTGTAATTCGAATTAAGCGTCAGATTCAAGTAACGATTCTAAATTAAAATTACTTACAACAGATTTTTTAGTCGTTTCAGTAACACCTTCTATTAAGCTACTAGTTTTATGTTGACTGCCTCGTTGACCGAGTGGTCGTAAGTGCGACTGCCGGGCAAGGGGTCTCGGGTTCGATTCCCGGGTCGGGCAAAGTATTACTGGGCTTTTAAAAAATTCTCAGTAGTAGCACGGAGTCTGGAATTGTGCCCGGTATATGGCAATAGGCTCACCCCCTAATACATGGGACTCATAACATAAATAGTGAAAAGTGGGTGTTACATTGTACAGTGGCATAATGTGCACCTCTGCCTACCCCTTCGGGGATAAAAGGCGTGATGTTATGTTTATGTTTATGTGTTTTATGTTGGCTTGATACGCATGAGATGGAAATTGCCAAGTTTACAAAAAAGTACTTACGGCATTCTGAAGCAGGAACACAAATATCACTCTCGTTCCTATAATACCCCTTTTCACACACACATCTTGGTGGAACTGGGTATGGATCAACACACTCCCTCTCTCTTTCATCACATCGTTCCTGGAAACAGGTTGTCGGGTTTCGTTCCCAAACTTCATTTGGTCTTGTGCACTCAACTTCAGCTAAATTAAAAATAACGTAACTACATTTGAATTTTTTGTCCTTTATTCGTCTTTAAAAATGTATGTTAAAAAATAAAATGAAACTGGTTAGGTACATGTAACCAAAGTAAAAAGATTGATTCAAAATGTTGTTATAGTTTTAAACAAGCTCTTATGCAACCAATCAGATTTCAATGATGCCTACAACGACCTTATTTCTATGATATTAAAGTTTTAAATAATTACAAAATTACTTACGACAATCTGATGCTAAGATACACTGAGGGTTTTCATAACTCTCGTACAAATAACCTGGACTACAAGCACACCCGCCAGGACAGGGATATGCGATAGAACAAGCTATCATAGCTCGACTATCGTCTCTGGGACAGTATTCAGTAGGACAGCCCACTTTACAACTAGCATATGTTTGATTAGTTCCACAAACTGGAGCTCCACCTAAAGATGTATAAATGAAATTAAATTTACACTTATTGTTAAGAAAACAATACCAAAGTAATATGTTTAAAAATTACAGCGACAATTTTAACAACATTGTTTCTCAAATAACGAATCGGTAAGGTTTATTAATTGTAGAATTATCCATTGTTTCAAATTATTTAGTTGCAAAGTTGACTCACCGGGACAATCTTTTGGATCTATGCAAACACCATTTTCAGACAAAATATATCCTTGTTTACATTCGCATCCATTTATAAGACAAAGAAGAATACAAGCTCGATTTGCTCTATCTGGGTCTGCACAAGTCGGTCGACAAGCACTTCCACATGGTGTCGCCGTAGCATTGGCGTCACCTCTGCATCCTACAAATTGTAAACCGAATAAATTATATCGGTCCTATAATAGAACCCTGTGGCATACCTTTGTTTTGTTAAGAATGGAATGCATCATTGCCAATGGGGCAAAGCGTTTCATACGTATTGTGTCGTTAATAGACGATGTTAAATGTATAGATACAAACCTGTGCACTCTTAAACCCTCTTAATGTATGTATGTATGTATGTATATCTATAGCGGTAAGTTTCCAGTATTGGCATTGTCATTTTAAGAAGTAATTTTTAAGGATAAAAATTTTTAATATCGATTCAATGACGATAATCATTTATATGACACCTATGCAAATAAGGAAAAATATTGAGAAAACCAACTTGTAGAACATTCTTCACTCGGAATACAAATGCCTTCACTGTTCCTAAGATAGCCCTTTACACAATTGCATCCAGGTCTACATTCCATCTGTGCACATAAGTAGTCGACGTACAAGCTGTCACAAGACTGAGGGGGACATAGGATTGCGCAGTCTGATGACTCTTCATTTGGTCCACATACAGGAGCTGACAAAGATAAGTTGTTTGGTCAGTGAACTATGTAAATGAGAAACGTAACAGAAAGAAGACCAAAGAAGAGATGGACTACAAAAGAAGAGATTTCTGATCAATCCCCAATGAATTGAAATAAGATAGGAATAGAATGAAACTCAAGAATGTTTACATGAAATGTACAATAATTACTCTAACGGGTAGGAGACAGCTATACTCGACTTACTAGCTTAGTTATTTGACATGAAATTTAGAAACCTAATTACCATTATGGTTGTATACTGAAATCAATCGATAAACATAATAATATTATTGCAGACTAGATTTTAATACGAGTAAATAAATATCGCTATGGCTGACAGTCATTGTCAAATTACACAGATAAAATTGATAAACATAATATTTTTGTAAAGACCAATGAGTGAAAAGAGGTTCATAGCACTGATGGTTGAAAAATTAACAACAATAGACACAAAAAAAGGCAAATACGTACCATTGTTAGTGTTACATTGCTCAGAAGGTACACAGACACCTTCAGAGTTTCTGAGATATCCGTCAATGCAGTTACATCCAGGTTCACACTCGGCTAGTGGGCAAAAGTAAGTAGTGTAAATACTCTCACAAGTTTGTGGTGGACAAGCAGCTCTACAACTAGTTGCCACTTCATTAGTTCCACACGTAGTTGGAATCGGGGCTAAAAAATAGAAATTGTCTTTTACTTCACGAATGCCTGGTAATATTAAGTTGACTATTATTATGAGTCTGATTATATTTTAATATTTTTATTTTTAACCATGGCCGTCCTACTGCAGGGCAAAGGCCGGTTGACGCTGAACGCTCAGCGTCAGCTTACTGTGGCCAATCTTTTTCACAGGCATCAAGTTCATCCCGCCATCTCCTTCTCGGCCTACCGCGATGTCTATTGACGTTGAATGGGTTGCACTCAGTAGTGAGTTTTAACCACCGCTTATCGGACATGCGGTAGATATGACTAGCGTAGTTCCACTTTAAGCTTGCGGCTTTGTGAATGACGTCAACGATTTGAGTTTTGGAATACAGTATGGAATTTTATGTTCTGTCCGATAATCGGACTGATTGAATCTGAGTCTGATTGAATAGAGGAAAGTTTATTGTCA